AGTTCTCTTAGTGAAAATATCAGTACGAGCATGAGTGGAACTACGATATCAAAAGGGGGGTTAAGGGTGGAACTAAGATATGCATATATATCATAGTCACTATATCATATCATATGTGAACTTTCTTGTCTTCTTGTGTGTTTAAATGTTTTTATTTTGAATTTTCTTAATGAAAATTCTGGCTCCACAATGATTCGTAATTTGTTTTCACTAATATAATGGTAATGTTTGGTGCATGTAATGAACAATTTGATTCTTTGCAACTCCAGATAGAGATAACATGTAGAGGCCAACAACTCCAACCATTCTTGACATTGCAACATGTTAGAGATCATATATGGAGTACTACTACTAATGCTGCTGACAATATCCTCACTTTGCTTCCTTCAGAAACTTCTAATCATGTCATGGTTCTACATTATGCTAGAACAAGTGCACCTCAAAATTAACAAGCCACAAATACTTCGACTTTTTTATAACAGGTCCGAGTCAGAGTCAGAGTCAGAGTCAGAGTCAAATAGTAATGACTCAAAACATTTCATCTTACACTATTTTCGGAAATCCAAGAATTTTATCTATGGATATGTAAATTACAAGATTTTCAATCCTAGCAAAAAAGGGAGGGAAACATATTGAAAGTCAAACAGGGCTTCTATTACAAAACGAACTCGAGAAAGCTGATGGCGAGAATTTCTAATCGTCAAAAAAAAAGAGTACTTAATTATTTCATTTTTTTTATCATGGTATTATTGTTAAACTATTGTTACTCAATCCACTTCTTTTTTGAGTAGTTTTTTTTCTTTCTTTTGGAGTTGTATTTTAATTTCATCAACATTAAAATAGTTTTAATATGTTGTTACCCCAAAACTATGTGCATTATAAAGTTTTGGCTGATGGATTAATCACCAGATTGTATTACTTACCTAAAACATAAGGGTGTGGAGTCAACCCCCCCACCCCCACCCCCACCCCAATCAATAGCAAAATATATGTAACCTATGATAATAATTTTCTGTCAAAATATCAACTAATTGTATTAGTTTAACTAGATAAGGAAGAATTTGCAATATGATAAAATTGGAGCTTTGATTAAATAAATAAAATGTAACATCCAATAAATAAAATCCACAACAGCTTTAGAGAAACAAATCAAGTGGAAGATGCTCTAGAATAGGAAGACGCTAAAATTGGATCAATTTAACTAAGAATGAAAAGTAGAACTTCCAATGAGGACGGGCCTCAAAAACAAATGGGGATAAATGTTGCAAAATAAGGAAATTTCTTAGTTTGTTATAGTTTCAAGACTTAGCATTTTATTTTGCTTCTTTGTTTTTTCAGAATTTTGATAGTGACAAGACTAATATTTTTTTATTTTCATTGTTTCATATTTTAATTTTGATGGATTTGTTGTCCAAAGCTTCTATAGCAAATTCTCAAAAAGAAAAAAAAAACACTATATTGTTATCGTGAAACCTTAAATTTAGGTACCCGTTATTTAGTCTATCTTGATGTAATGATTCGAACCGTCATTAATTAGGAAGAGATAAAAATTTGAAAATTCTGGGCCACTAATCCGCCAAGGTGGGACAGGTGCCGCTACGGCGCCAGCGCTAGAGTGGGGTAAGTTGGCGTCAGAGCGGGAATAGCGAGGCATGATGTAAATTATGAGATATTCTATTTTCTCCATCTTCCTAAAATACCTAAGTAAGTTGTAAATTACCCTAGAAACTAGGGGTGGGCATAAATACTGAAAAACTGAAACCGAATCAAATAATTTCGGTTCTTCGGTGTTTCGGTTCAGTGTCGATTTTCTTTTTCGGAACTTCGATTCTTTGGTTCGAAGTTCGCTGAAAGGGTCCTGAAACTACAGTGCACCTAAAAACTGAAGTTTTATTTACTAAATTTAAAAAGATTTAAATTATGTTGCTCAATTAATAATAGTTATACACTTTTGAATAATGACTCAAAATATTTACAAGGCCCATTTAAATTTTCAATTTTTAAATGACAACAAATATAGTGTCAATAAAGTGTTGAACCATTGTTGTTTATGTACAATTGTACATTGTGAGTCCTTAAATTTTGGTTGGTCGAAAGTTCATCGTGGCATCGTGCTCGCTCTCTTCTTTATTCATTCAGCATTCCGGTATAGGAGAAAGTCTTTAGGCTTTAGCAACATGGAAGCCATCTATGCTAAGAAACAAAAACAAATCCTTTGGCATCTTTGCTAAAAAATCATTTATGCCCTCTTTATTTATTAAATACATGATGAAACTCTTAACACTTTATCATATTCCCTCTTTATTTTTATTAACACCGAAAAATCGATTTAAAAACACCGAACTAAAATGAACCGAAGTAGAAAAAATCAAACCAAACCGATCTAGTTTGGTATAAACTATGGTGCACACTTTTCTAAAACCGAATACCGAAGAACTAAATCGAAATTTAATTAAACCGAACCGAAGAACCGAACGCCCACCCCTACTAGAAACCTCAGAAAAGTTGCTTTAAGCTTGGGAACGGAGGAGAGGGAGAATTCTAGCGTGGAGATGGCGAAATCTTGGACAAATCTACTGTCACGAATCCAAAAAACTCTAATAAAAGTCAAAACTCCGTACAACCGCTTGGCGCCTAGGTAGGCTAAATTTTACAATTGAGTAGTTATAAATCTTTGCTTAATACGTGATATACGCAAATCAATGGTAGGTTGTGGGTAAACCTTCGTGCACCTAGTAAATTACATGAATAAATCCTTGAAAACTCAAATATGTGAGTCTGCCTTGTGAGGAGGAATTGACGTGTTGTTAAGAAAATCTAGAATTGCTATCCATGGACAGAATGGGGTCAAGAATGAGGACACGAGATCAAGAGTAGAACTAGAATTATGAATGTATGTTACATTTGAAAATTGAGGTAATGAATTTAGGAATTATGATGAACTAGGGAGGAGTGTGGTCAATTATGACTTATGTGATACGGATTGAGCAGTGATTCATAGGTTGAATAGCTGAAGGTCACCTTGTCATTTTCAGTCAATTATATATTTACATTCAATGTGTCACACAATATGTAAAGACTATCTCAAGCCATTACGCCTTAATTTAAAACAAAAAAACAAAGAAGAAAATTTCTACTTTGCTTTCTCTTCACCCTCGAGATACACATGTTTAAGTATTTGACCTTGTCTTCGTTACTAAAATCAACTTTTAACTAAAGAATGAGAGTTATGATACACATGTGACCTTGTCTTTGTTACTAAAATCAACTTTTAACTAAAGAATGAGAGTTATGATATGCATCTGTTGTCCATCTTTCAACATGATCTTAGGTCCATTTCAAAGAAAATTAAAAAAATGAAGGTCGATCAGTTTTTATATTTTTCAGAATAAATTCACATATAGACTTCTTTTAATTTACTTATCTTGATATAAAAGATAAGTAACATTACTACTTCTATTATATGTATGTTTACAAGTGACGAAAGGGAAGATAAAGATTCAAATGAAAGCCACAACACATTCATTTTGTTTGAATGTCACAAAAAAAAAAAATCTTTGTTTAGCTCTCTTAACACACACCACACAAACTTGACAGAAACAAGAATTGACCTGCTGATGGAAGACAGTGCAGGAGTCCACTCCAAACATGGCATGTTATTCATAGGCTAACAAACAAACTCGATTAGTCGTTTTATAATTAAGTCGATTATTTATCTCATTGAAATTGAGAAGCTTATTAATCATCTTATATTAATTTATCTTAGCGGGATTTGACAAATGATTTAATTTGTTTAAACTTATCTCAACTTATATACCAAGTTGACCAACTCTCCAAAAGTTTCTTCAGCTATTTTGGACTAGCCATCTGCGGCATCGTCCTTGGTTCGTGTGGATAGACACCACGTCGAGCACAAGGATGGAAGGATTGAAGCCCCTCGATCTGCCAATCCGGATTTTGGGGGATTTGGCCAAGTTTTGGTACAAGAAGAGCCTTTTTCTTGTCCTTGGAAACATTTTCAAAGTGAATGTCCGATTCTACCTCAATCTTTTTTCCCTGATTCGGAACCTCTAATTCTCCCCCATCTTCTCCATTTTGTTCGGGGATCGAACATTTTTTAAGAGAAAGAACCAGAATCTCGACTTCGCTTGGGATGTATGGACCGTTCTGTTTCTCTTTTCGCGTCTGCATGCTTCCATGTCCAAAAAAGCAGCATCTTGGTCTGAGAGTTAGTTTTGTTTGGCTCTGTTTTGCACATTACTTTATTTCCTTTTGCTGAACTTCTACAGTAAATCCCCTGTTTATTCTTATTCGATCCATAAATATCGATGTACAGGTTTTGGTTATGAACAAGTCCGAAGATTTGAAGAAGTCGGGCCCCGCTTTATTTAGTTTCTCTTTTGTTATCTTTGGGCCTAAGTCCTTATCGTCTTTTTTTTTCCGTATTCATTTTTTGTTCTTATATGTTTAGTCTAGGACAGGTACTCAAGATAACAAAATGGGTCAAAAATTCAAAACAGGTGGGTCTAAATTCCAGTCCAGGCGGACAGATTTGGACCCAACTCTCTCTCCCTCTCTTATTTTGTTTAATTATCCGCTCTTATCTGTAGCTAGTTTCAAAGTTAGAGAATCCAAAAAACGCACAAATGATAATGACTACTGTTATGCGGAATTCGAGATAATATGAGAAAATATAAATGCGAAAAACAAGACAACAGATTTACGTAGTTCACCAATAAATTGGCTACGTCCACGAGAAGAGGGGGGGCAGTTTTATCATGGAGAGGCAAAAATAGAATTACAGAATAGGGTTTCCCATAGCGTCTATATATAGTGCTAAGCTACGCCCTAACAGGCTTGGGCCCAAAATACAGAATTGACAGATAATTAAGGGCCCAATTCAAGGCATTCAACAAATCTCCACCTTAACTTGAATTCTCCAAACAGATTCTTCAGACGCACTATGATAGTGCCAGGCCTCCCCCTCTTCCTCAGAATTGCCCCGCAGGGCAATTAACAGCTTCTGATGTTGAGCAAGTCCAAACAGTGTTGAAACTTGCTCTGTGGAACCGGCTTTGTGAACATATTAGCAGGACTATCAGCAGTTCCTACTTTCTTCACCTTGATTCTCTTCTCACTTTTCAGAAAATGATACCTCACGTCAATATGCTTAGTTCTCTCATGATGGACTCGATCCTTGGCTAGACAAATTGCGCTCAAACTGTCACAATACACCGTAGCCTGATCATGATGCAGACCAAGATCACTAACCAGCCCTTTCAGCCAAATCCCTTCTTTTGCAGCCTCTGTCAAGGCCATGTACTCCGCTTCCGTAGTAGACAAAGTCACAGTAGGTTGCAAAGTTGCCTTCCAACTGACGACAGATCCTCCAAGGGTAAACACATAGCCAGTCATCGATCTTCTTGTGTCAACATCTCTAGCATAGTCAGAATCAGAATAGCCAGTAACCAAGCACTGAGTATCACCTCCATAAATGAGACCAACGTCAGATGTACCTCTAAGGTACCGAAAAATTCTCTTCACAGCCTGCCAATGTTCTTTCCCTGGTTGTCCCATGAATCTGCTCACTACACTGACTGCATGTGCTAAATCTGACCTTGTACAGACCATAGCATACATCAAACTTCCTACGGCACTGGCATAAGGGACTCGTGACATATACTCCTTCTCTTCTTCTGACTGTGGAGCGAACATGCAGTGAGATGGATATTGGCAGCACTGGGGGTATCAATAGGCTTAGATGAAGACATGTCAAACCTCGCCAAGACCTTCTGAATGTAGCTTCTTTGTGACAAGAAAAGTTTCCTTCTCTCTCTGTCTCTAATGA